GGTGTGTCAGAGGACGCGAAGATGCTGATACCCACGAGCTGCGTATGTATGTGCCGACCTCCAGATGGAAGCCCCGATGCTTTTCCTAGCCGCCTCCGCCGCCCTCGACCATGATCTCATCATGGGGACCTCAAAAACGCCTTCTGCCAGTCCGACCCGTTGCGACGACCACGTGGTCGGGTGTTTGTAGAACCGTGTGAAGGTTTAAATTTTCTTTCAGGCAGCCTCGTGGAATTTATTGCACCGGTATACGGCCTAGACGACGCGCCGCTGGCGCTCCACCACACTACCGTGAGGTTCTTCGAGAGTATAGGTTATGTCAAGACTCGTCTGGAGCCGCGTTGGATGGTAAAACGTGGTCGAGGGGGTGTTCCGGACGCTATGGTACTTATAGAGTTGGACGACTGGGCTATATCTACGGCGACGGGGCTACAACAGGGCCAGCTAGAAATATTCAAGAAGAGGTTTACTTTTGGTAAGTTGCGGGCGGTAGATAGCATGGGGGTATAATATATTGGGCGTAGGATCAGGAGATTGCACGACCGAGTGTTAGTAGATATGGAGAAGTACATACTAGAGCACCTACGGCGTCTGCACATGCCACGTGAGCAACGAGCACGACACGAGCTCCCACTCTTGGGCCAGCAAGTGAACGAGTTTCGGTCCCTCATATACCGTTTGAACTGGGTGGGAAGAGAAGCGAGGCCCGAGGCTAGTGGTACTGCCTCTCTGTTAACCAGTAAAGTAATTGTCCTACCGTGAGCGACGCCCTCGTGGCGAAACAGATGGTAGACTACTTGCGTGGCTCTGCCAATCTTCCAATTACGATCTGGAAGCACCGGATTGGGAAAGCCCCTTTTTGCAGCGGCGTCCGAATGTGGGGGCGTGGGGGCTAAGTCGGGCGACCGACCCCAGCAGGCTTGGCAGGTGTACTTGGCAGATGGCAGTATCGCATCCGGGGAGAGGGCTGGGGTCTCACCACTCTCGTGGCGGTCTTGCAAGATTCGGAGACAGGTACCGTCGACTTTGGCAGGAGAGGTCCAATCCTTGAGTGCTGTTCTTGCAGAAGCAGAGTGGATGCAGCTCCCGTGGCAGGGCGCGGTGTTCGGAACTGTCATGGACAAATGCTGGCAAAACAAAGTAGGTCCCTTTGCATCCTTGCTCAGGAAAGACTGTGCTCTGAACGGCAGCCCCGACAACAATTTGGCCATGGTTGATGCCAAAGGGATCTTCGACACCTTGGATCGGGACACTGGGGGATCTAAGAACGACCGCAGAGTGGCCATCGATTTATCCGTATGCCGAGAACGCCCATCGCGTCTTGTGGGTACGGTGCGTTGGTTACCACACCCATTCATGCCAGTGGATGTCATGGCGAAAGCAGATGTGAGTAAGGGGAATGCCGCACAGCTTCAGCTCCTCAAGACCGGCATGATGAAGCTTACGGCGGAGCAGGACTCATTTTCCCATAGACGTCAGGACCCCTCCGCCAAGGCCAGGTCCAAAGCAGCGTCGTCTCGTCAACTCTCGTTGCCGTCGTCGTTGTCGGTGTTTCGACCGAGCGAGGGAGGGGAGGGGGCGTGACCTTTTCAATCTAGAATGCCTCTCAGAGGCCGTGCTGATTTTATCTATCCCTTGCATGCCTCGGAGAGAGGCCGTGCTGGCAGGCTTGTGTTTCTCAGTTGCAGCCTCCGCAGCGTGCTCCTGTATAGTTTTAAGCTCACTAAAGTTGGGCCGGCTGAGGAATTCACCTGTGTGAGCTTACGCTTGTTTCGTATCCTTGGAGAGGGTCTCTCTCTATATATATATGTATATATGTACACTTCCGTGATCATGTTGGCTGAGGGGCACCCTCTGAGTTTTTGTCTTGCAATCGCCCTTGCAAACACCATGGCTCGTTGCCGTTGCCGATGTTGGCGTGGCACCCATATTAACGGCGATGGGCGTATAACACGTGATGCACATCACCGGCGATGTCTAATCGACCGAAATATACGCGACGCTCATTTATTCGTGAAGCCGGAACAATTGTTTTTCCAAGCGGTATCTGTTCGTTCAGTGTACTGTTCGCGAGAACAGGTCGGAATCTCCGCGGTCCACGCGTTCGGAGGCATAATGTTCTACATGTGTGTACGTATATCGAAGACGCCTACGGCGAATCACCGCCGCCCCCTGCCTTTTTGGAAACGCCGATGTGGCCGAAAGTTGGACTAGAGCTTGGCCAAGCTATCGGACCATGAGTTCCCCGTGTCGGTTTGGAAAGCTTTCGGGGAACACATGGGAGAGAATGATTATGAACAGGAAGAGGAAGAGGAAGAAATAGAGTAGGAGGATGAGGGTTGTTAGGAGTCTCTTGGGGCACCCTTGGGGTCTGTTGGGGGCTTCTTGGGGGCCTCTTCGAGGCCTCTTGGAGGCATCTTGGGGGCCTCCTTGGGCCTCTTGGGGGCCTTTGGGGGCTTCCTGGGGGTCTCTTTGGCCGTCTTAGGGCGTTCCTGGTCCGTCTGACGCCGTCTGGAGCCGTCTTGGGGGCCTCTCTGGGCCGTCTTGGGGCCCTCTTGGGGCGCTTCAGGGCCGTCTTGGAGGCCATGTTGGGCGTCTTGGAGGCCTCTTGGGCCGTCTTGGGGCGCTCTTGGGGCCGTCTTGGGGGGCCCTTGGGCCGTCATAGGGCCTTCTTGGAGGCCTCTTGGGCGATCTTGGGGGCCTCTTGGGCCGTCGGAAGGCCGAAAAGAAGAAAACGCAAAAAACCTTCAAAACCCTAAGGAAAACCCATGATTTTGGCCTCTTCGGGCTCTCCTGGAGAACGTCTTGGAGGCCTCTTGGGCCATCTTGGAGGCATCTTGGGGCCATCTTGGCCGTCTTGGAGGGCATCTTGGGCCGTCTTGGAGGCATCTTGGAGCCATCTTACCCGTCTTGGAGGCCATCTTGGCCGTCTGGGAGGCATCTTGGAGGCCATCTTGGGCCATCTTGGCCGTCTTGGAGGCCATCTTGGAGCCGTCTGGGGCAGGAAATTGGGGAATTGAGGTCCTGGAAGGGTGGCCGGCGGGACGGGCCGAAGCCCACTGGGGAGTTCTTGTACAAAAAGAACCAAAACCAAAACCTGAAACATCCAGCACGCCGTGCACCCCTGCAAGCAGGGGGCGGCGGATCTAATGGCCTTCGGCCTATCCCGCCACCGTGCCGGGCTAGCGGTTTAGAGGACTGTGATCAGTCGGGAGTGGAGTTGGGCCTCCTTTGAGTCTCTTGGGGGCCTCTGGGCCTGGGCTTCTTGGGGCCTCTTTTGGATTTGTCGGGGGCTTCTTCGGGCCTCTTGGGGGTCTTTTGGGGGCCTCCTGGGGCCCCTTGGGGGCCTCTTGAGGCCTCGCGGAGGCCTCTTGAGGCTTCTTGGGGGCCTCTTGGGCGCCTCTTGGGGCTTGTTGGGGGCCCCTTTGGGCGGAAGCCTCGATTTGTCCATTGGCCATCTCTTGGGCCCCTCTTGGGGCCGTCTTGGCGGTCTCTTGGGCCGTCTTGGGCGCATCTTGGGCTGTCTTGGGGCCCTCTTGGGCCGTCTTCGGGCGGTCTTGGGGGCCCCTTGGGCCGTCTTGGAGCGACTTTGCTCGAATGAATCTTGTTTCTGCCACAATTCATGCAATGCATATAAGTGTTTTATAGATGTAATAAAATAGTGTTACATGTGTTGTACAATACTTTTGAACTTAGCTAAGTTTTATATAATAAGTTAACTTTCTATGTACTTACAAAACACTTTGTATATTTTGATTGAATTGTTCAGCATAATTTTATAGACTTCGAATTCAAACTTGGTTAGAATTCGCTACTATTCTAAAGAATTCGATAATACTCTTTGCTTTGGTTTTACCGCCCTGTGCGTTGGCACTTCCCCATCGATGAGGGTTGGGCTAATATTCTTTGTTTTGGTTTCACAGCCCTGTGCGTTGGCACTTCCCCAATGAGGGTCGGGCTAATATTCTTTGCTTTGGTTTCACCGCCCTGTGCGTTGGCACTTCCCCAATGAGGGTCGGGCAATTTGTCGTGTCATTGCACTGCGCGGCAAGTGTCACGACAAGTGCATGTGCCAGGATGGCGGGTATTATTCGAAAGCCCGTTTTGCCGCGCGCCGATGTCATGTAAAAGCGTCATCGTCATCTGCAGTGACGTGTCGCGCGCGGAGAGCTTTTGCTCATGCGCAGCAACTCGAATGTTCGGTGTGAACATTTGTTCAGGGAGAGGGGGCGCTCGGAACCACGTGCAAAACATTTGCACCAATCATCGCCGTCGCGTAATCATCCGCCGTCGTCCGTTTGCAAGGGGAGGTTCGGAGCATCTTGCAGAGCTCACGGCTCAATCATGGCTCATTGAGCTTCTAGCTCATGCATGTGCTCAATTTCCGATTGCCGTCGTCGCGTGCAGGTGCACCGCGAGGAGGGGCAATTACAGAGCGAGCCCCATGGGAAAACTGAATTCGGGTGCGCGCCATTCGTCTTCGTCTGGGCTGTCTCGGAGCATGAGAGCATTTGCTCATGAAGCTCGTTATGCTTGGAGCGCGTTGCTCCGCAGAGCTCATGGCTCACGCGTCTGTTCGTGGAGCTCGTGGCTCATCGCCATCGCTGTTTGTAGTTAGTTGCATGCAAATGCACATGGCTGCATGTATTCTTTTTGCGTGAGACGCCTCGTCATTATATGTAGGTTGCGTTGCAATGGATGAACGTTGCGGGTCTGGAGCTCATGGCTCATGGAGCCCATGGCTCACCGATAACATCTTCCCATGAAGCCTTGGCTCGCAGAGCCCATGGCTCGCGGATGGTGGATTTCATTGTTTACAGTGGCACTCGTCAACATATGTCGCATGTGTGAGCGCGTAAATGCATTCGTATATTGACACAGAGCGAGAGCTCGGAACACATTGTTCGATGGGCGACCGACGGTCTTTGAGGAGCTTCTGCTCGAGATGCAGTACATCAGTGTACCAGCCATTTTTTTCTTCCACCGCAACGCGAATGGACTCAAACCTTGCGGGCCTTCTTCTCGGGCTTGCCCCCGCTCGCGCTGCCGCCCTCGTTGCCCTTGCCGCGCTTGTTCTTGCCCTTGCCCTTGCCAATCTCGCCAGCGTTGCCCTTCTCGCCGTGGTCGACAGCAGATCGAATCACCGTCGCGTTTTGCAAAGCTGTCTTGATGTCCTTAGGTTTGAAATAGTATAGTCTCTCGTGCACTTTCAATGGCTTGAAGTTCTGCAACGCAGGGTAGCTCACGCCGTCGGCACCGACGACCTTTACGAACTTCATGTTCGCCTTCCCCTCGATCGGCGTGGTCTTCACCCACCAGTACGGTGCAAAGAAAGCATGCACCGTGTCATCAGCGGGCTTGCGGACGCTTGTGGCAAAGAAGGCCTTCCCACCGATGGTGACCGTCGCCACATTGTTCTCAGCGCCCTTAGGGTTAGTGCAGAGGATGTTCTGCATGGGCGCGGTCGGAGTGAACTTGAATATGTTCTTGCTCACGTCTTCCTCCATCGCAGTGCCGACGGGGTTCCTCATGTGCAATATGGGCGGCCCATGGCATGCTTTGCCAGTCTTCATCAAGGCTGCGTGCTCCTCGCGGGGGCTCATGAAAACAATGGGCCGCAGCCGGTCATCCTCGATAACTTCAGAGCTGATGTCTTTCGAAGCGCACACAAAGCTTACCTTCTCCTTGACGGCCTTCCAGTCGTATACCAAAACCTTGTAGCCGACCTCGACCTTGATGCAGTCATCGTCATCGAACGGTTTGACTTGAGTCAGCAACACTTTGCCACCATCGTTGAGGGCCTTTACCTCGAATAAGAAGCCGTCGGAGATGTTCTTCTCCCTCAGTTGAGAACCGATCTCGATGCCAGCTTTGTCCTTCAGGACGTGTGCGGGCGAAGCCATCTCGTCGAAACTCATGGCGCCTATCTTAGCCGCATCAGACCCTGCAGCGGCGGTATCCTTGGAGTCGTCGATCTTCACGGCGAAGTCGCCGAGGTCCACGGCGGAGTCGCCGGCTGCAGGCTTGAGGTCAATCGCAAAGCGTGACTTGATGTCATCTATGCTTTCGTATTGTTTGTTCTCTGGCGACTGGTGCTGCCTGCCGAGATGGAAGAGCACAGCTCGCACCATGAACTTGCCGACCGTCATGTCGAAGTCTGTCTGGTGGATCATCGCCTTGTCGGCAAGCTTCCACGCGTCCTTGAGCGTGGTGTTCAGCTTCAGGATCTCGTCCTTGCCCTTTGACTTGTCAGCGTCAGATTTGTAGATCAGCTTCGCAACGCCGTCCACCACCTTCAACGACGCAAGGTTCGTGGCCACGGGGGCGGCGCGAAAGAACGGTGCAGCGTCGCACTTGTTGAGCTCCGCAGTCGCAACTGCAGTGATGAACTCCTCTCCGAGAATATTGTTCTCTCCGAACGTCTTGGAGAACCTGTCCAGGAAGTGGAGCACTGGTGCTCCAGCGCCGCCTTCCGATGACCGAGACCAATAGGTCGACGAATGCGTTTCGAGTTAGAGAGGGCGGGTTATAGAGACGGGGCGGCGTATTTTCGAAACGACCCTCGACGACGCGACCGTCCCATTTTTTGGCGTTGACCAGGGCCACCGCTGATGAGCTCAACCAATCGGACGACGGCCTCGATGTATGATGCACACATGGGCGAAGCCGACTTGGCCGCGTTGATGGCATCGTCCTTGTCTGCAGACAGGTCTGAGAGCCAAACCATGGTCTGGAGCTCTGTGCTCCTTGAGCTCACCCCGTGCGCAGCGTTCAGTGCCCGCTGGCACAGGTCAGGCAGTCCTGGCCACGCCACCTCGCGCTGCCAAGGAAACGCTCGCCAGACCCAACCATTGTCCATGCAACTACCCAAGCGCTTGTCACGGTGACCGAGCGCCTCTGACAGGGGCCCATCTGCGTTGGCGATGTTCTTGAACGGTGTTCTGCAATGAGCCTTGCAAGCGCGGGTGGCAGCGGTGAAGTGCCCTGTGCCCGCGCTCAGGTACGACTCGCGCCCTGTGGGATGCATCGGGGGCCCGTTGGCTCGCTCGCACAAGTCGACGTTGAATCCGCATCACTCTCATGAGCGCCGATGGTTTGGAGAGCGTCCGCATCTGCCCCTCCGTCGGGAGGGGCGGGTGGGAGGGGTGGGGTGGGGGGCGGGGGTGGTGGGGGGGGGGTATACCCTGCGCCCTCCCATGCCGGGGGGCGCCCTGCGAGGGTCCAAGATTGCCCGAGACGGCGCCCGCGATGGGGATCGCAAGATAGTTTCCATGATTGCTCAAGATAGCACGATATGTCCCAATGCGGTCGGGGCGCCTCGGCCGATGCGACCGAACGTAGAACGTGCCATGGAATATTATAACATTCCCTCCTCCGTGAACCGCCCCTCCCTCCCTCCCTCCCTCCCTCCCTCCCCCTCCCTCCCCCTCCTCCTCCCTCCCTCCTCCTCCTCCCTCCTCCTCCTCCTCCTCCTCATCATCATCCTACTCCTCCTCCTCCCTTCTCTCCCCCCCCTCCTCCTCCTCCTCCTCCTCCTCCTCTTCCTCCTCCTCCTCCTCCTCCTGCTCCTCCCCTCCTTCTCCTCCTCCTCCTCCTCATCCCTTCTCCCTCCTGCGTGCCTCCTCCCTGCTTCAAGGTGCCGACAAGAGGAAAGAGGGAGGATGAGAAGGAGAAGGAGAAGGAAGAGGAGGAGGACAACTGCCGATGATCGGCGCTCTTCGTTCGAGTACCTGGTGTGGGGTCGGCTGGCGGGGAGACGCGAAGCGTCTTCAATTGCTTCTGGCTGCTCTTCATGTGGTCGAATGGGTTCATCTGGAAGCATGCCGCTTTGCTGAGTTCTTTGGGGTCTCAGCCGACGTGGGCGATATCCGAGAGGTTCTTGTGGGCGTTGTATGCGTTCAGCCCGAGCTTACCCCTGTTGGCTGGGTGCGCGAGAATGTCGTCTGCTAGGAACTTCTGCTCGCTCACGATGTGGTCCTTGACGAGCATCTCACGTATGTCCTCGTAAGCTGTGATCGCTGGGGTCGTCGCGTTATTTGCAGCGTCGATGATCTGCTGCGCGGAGGCGACGAATGGGGGGGGGGGCATAGCCATGCGCGTCACTCATTCTCGACATCGGTACGAACTGTACATGAAAGATCTTGGCCCGCAAATGGCTCGCATGCAGAAGGGCCCCCCGATGCACCCATAAGACAGCAATGTGCCTTTATCACCAATGGCCCACGCAACCCGTGAGCGAATGCTCAGCGTCACGTAAGTACGGATTGTTGTCGGGCACAGACCTATCGCCGCGACGCAGACGTTTTGGTTCAAATCATTTCCGCCTGCGCCCTTGTGTTGTGGCACACCCCCCATGGAGGTCGATACGCATCCCGTTCTCGATGTGGACACCTCAATGGACGTTGATTCGTCGTGGGAGATGGATGCGACAAGTGTCAGGAAGAAAGTGACGTGGGGCACCGTCGTTGTGGAGCTGACTTACAGGGAGGTCGACGTGAGCAAGTCATGGAGGCCTGCAACAGTGTGGATGGAGAAGTCGCGGGCAGCAAGCAAACTCAAACAACGCCATGCAACACACATGTTGCGGAAGGAGAATATGTTCCGCCAGGGGTGCACGTGCACGGAGACCGAAGACGTCTGCCAATGGTGCGCGATTCTTGCTTGCACGGCTGACGCTCCTGCTTGCTGCACAGCAAGCGCTTAGGCGAGAGTGGGAATCATGCGGGGTGTCAGCGCATGACAAAACATAATGGTCACATATGATTCGGGGTTGTGTCGGTATGAGCTGTCGCTCTTGAGCTGTCCCTCTTGCAAACATTGCACGTCGAGGGTATCATCCTCATCCAATGTAATAGCCGTTTGGGGTCAAGGCAGCAGGGGAGAGCTTGCCTTGCTTTGCAAGCATGGACCTGAACGTTACTATTCAGACGTCGGTCACGGTCACCGCGCATGGCGGTGGCAGTCGGATTTCGAAGTGGAGTCTAAAAGTGGTGATGGCGAGAGGCGGGACACACGCGTGCGTGGTGGTTAACCCGCGCGATCGCCCCTTGATCCGCATGGTCGCTCGCCTGGCGGGCCTGTGCTTGGACGGCGTGAATCTCAAGAAGGCCTCCCTCAGCAACACTGCAGGGCACATGATGCTCAAGGAGTTGCGCCAACAAGCAAGGCCGAAGCTGCTCGTGAAGCAGACTCATCAGGCCGCGGCGAGTTCAAAGCTCTTTGCAGGCGGAAGGGTCGACAAGTACACCACGCCTGTGAAGACTTCACGGGCGCAGAGACCGTCGAGAAGTTCAATTGCCGACATTCGCAGTCGCCGCGAGATCTGCAGCGTCAGCTCGACGGACGACGTCTGTGCCGAGATGCTGCAGAGTCCGGGCCAAGCGGACGACATCGTCGCGAAGGCTACCAGTGAGAACATTATGGCGGTGGCGCGCTTCATTGCACAGCACCCCACCGCCGAGGACTTGACAAAAAGTAGGGTGCGGGGCAGTTCGGGTAAGAAGGGCATCTGGAGATGCGGAGATGGCTGGCACCACAAGGGCCGCGGCAAGAAGCTCGCCGTGGAGGTGGGGGCGCCGAGCGGAGCTGAGTCCATGGACTTGAGCGGCCTCTCAGATGCCGAGGCGCCCGCGGACGCGCCGCATGACTGACAGAAGGGGGGCGTTTGACACCAAACACAGTTTAATCGACCTTTTCGGTCCGCGCCATCGACTGCTCAGTCCATCGAACGTTCGGTCCACGCAGTTATCCGCTATTCGTATACATGCACAGATATATCGCGATGCAGTTATCATCACGGCTACCAGTGCAATTATCAACGACGGATTCGCCACCGACCTTTCGGTCCACGCCATTTGAACATGCCCTCCAAGACTTGCCCGATGGACCTGTGACCACTGAGTGGTTCACTGCTGCCGCTGTGGCTCAAAACCGTGAGGAGCGCAAGGCTTGCAGGAAGCCCTCTTCTAGCACGATTCCTGCAGGCCGTTAGTTTTGGCGCGCCAGTCTAGGGGTGGGGAGGAGGGATGGGTTGGGGGGAGGAAGCTGCTGTTGGCGGGCGTTGCGACGATCACAACTCATCTCACATCTGTGCCACCGCACCATCATGTATTACCCCATCCTCGGTTACCTCCGCCTGCCGCCGCAACCCCCGTCAGGTGAAGGTCCCCCCCCCCCACCCACCCACCCACCCACCCCCCACCGCTCCCCTCGCGCATTTACTTTCACGATGAGCTCGGGCGTCATGGCGAACACTGCTGGTATGTTTGGCGCCACGGTTCCGACCAAGAAGAGGCCCAGTCCCGCGCCGCCGATTAGGAAGGGCAAGGGCAAGGGCAAGGGCGCCAAGCCTGCAGGTCATGACCACCCGGCCCCCAAGTGGGAAGGTCCTCCTGCTCCAGCAGCCATGGATGACCACGTCGAGGACGAAGCTGCGAAGCGAGCTCGCCTGCAGGAGACCGCGGCCATGAAGATCCTGAAGCTCAAGACCTTGCCAGGTCAGCAGGAGGACAAGTTCACGGATCTGGTGATCATCAGCGTGGACGGCTCTCTGCTCGAGAATGCTCGGTCCGACGAGCAGCGCGAGAAGAACAACGTGGCATGGAAGGTTGCACCGTCTTCGAACTCACCGCAGACCACTCGGTCGTGCCGCTCGGCGCCCTCTTACTAACATCATCACGCCGCTGGTGTTTTGACATCAGCGTTGGTAAGATGTTAGTGAGAGGGTGCCAAGCGGTTCATCGTGTGGGTGGCTGGTGCGTTCGGGACCACCATGCAGATTTCTGGGCGCTACTGGAATCTCGGCATGATCGACGGCAGCGCGGTCTACAGACAGGAACCGCCACAGAACTCCAGCAGCTGGCTGAACAGCGAACAAGTGTTCTTGTGGCGCAACGGCCACATGAAGGAGGTGAACCACAGCGGGTGGTACATCGCGAAGAGCATGTCGCTCGAGAAGAAGGAGTTCGAGTCGGAGGGGAACATCTACGCGTGGTGCCCGTCGCGCCCAAGTGCGCCGCAGACGTTCCCCGAGGTGGCTCACATCCCGCACTGGTGCAAGACGCAGCACCAAGCGGTTTCCATCAAGAGCGGGGTCGTCTTGCTCCACGAGCTCGCGGCGGCCGCGAAGGAAGGCGCCCAGACGCACAAGTGGCTCATCGGGCAGCTCGCGTGCTCGGGCTGGCAGACTTCGTCTGACTGGAAGGCGTTCGCGGAGGCGATCATGGTGGCGACGGAGATGTCAGTCGACTTAAACATCTCCGACGAGCAGCTGAATTGGTGGATTATAAATGCCAGCGAGGCAGCGGCGCTGATGGAGACTGGGGCAGGCCTCTGATGAGCCCACCGCCCATCGCAGCCAGCGATAGGTTGGCCAATGCGTGTTGCGGCCAGTCGTTCGCGCTCGCGGCCAGCATCAGGTTGGCCAATGCGAGCGGCTGCTGATGCAATGCCATCGCACTTTGCGGCAGTGATGTAATAGGTCGGCCGAGGCGCGTGGGAACGCGCGCGCGACCCACCCATGCGCGCAAGGTGTGCGGCCCATTGGGCGAACAGTTGCGGGCCCAGTTGGTGCGAGAGCAACTGCTCCAGATGCGGCCCCAGTTGCGGGCCCCAGTTGCGGGCCCATGATCGAGCGATCCTTGCAAACACGCATCAACAAAACCATAATGGCACCACTGGCCCCTTGCACTAGTCAAGCACATATTGTTGTTTTTTTCTGCTATGTGGGGTAAGTGCACCATCGCACAGCTCTCGAGCCAGCCGTGCATGCTAAATGTTTTGATTGCGGCTGATGGCCCACAGGACGAGCATCGCAGAGGGGGGAGAGGTCACACAGGGGTAGCAGCAGTGCAAATGTTCATCCAATGGGCAGCCCCGCAGCGCGCAGTGACATAGGGACTGTAAACTACTGTCTTTTCCTAGCTCGCTCGTGTCGCGGCGGTATCGGCGACGACCCGCAGCGCGGCTGTGGGTGCGACGGCTCGCAGCGCGGTTGCCGCGCCACCATCTAGGGCGCACCAGCATCATAATGCCGCGCGCATTCGCAGCTGGGAGCGGAAACGTCCTCATCCTCTCCACCTCGTCCCATGCTATCCTGACGTCTCCAGCCCGCCTCCGATCGTCTAGATCACGTACCCGGTCGTACTATCTATGTCTGCATAGACTCCTTAGTATAGTTCGCTCCGTCTTGTATTGAGCCGAGCTGCCTCGTCAACATGTGTCAGTATAGACGTTTCGGATGTTTCTGAATGAACCTTGAGACTGTTTCGGAAGGTACGTGGTATTTCGGCTGAGCACCAACATTGTAGATTTCATAGTGATGTCAGTTCGGATCAGCCATACCCGACGCAATCTCAGTTTGCACTCGATTTTGGTATTCTAAAATCGAGTGCAGCGGAATGTGCACTCGATTGTGGAATTCCAAAATCGAGTGCAGATGCACGTGCACTCGATTGTGGAATTCCAAAATCGAGTGCAGAGGAGTGTGCACTCGATTATGGAATTCCAGAATCGAGTGCAGGATTGACGCAACACCATTTGCGAAGTTCAGCGTGTAAGATCCGCAGGACATGATGTGCATTCGGGGCGCCGAGGTCTGTCTTGGGTCTGGAAATCATGTCGTCTTGGGGCGCATTGGGGACAGCGTCTCGGCCGATTTGGGTTGCATTGTAGCATATATCTGGCTTATGATAGCAACGACTCGGTGAGCGCGAGCCCCGCGAACGTGAGTTCCAGCAAGAGCGTGAGCTCGACGAGGTGGCCCTCGATGCTATAGGCGTTGCGGTTCAAGGGTCATGTCGGCAGAGCCACCGCCCCCTGGGTGCCCGCCTCCCGAGCGCGGGCCTCCAGCCTGCCCGCGGCCGATGAGCTCGGCCTCGGATGGGATTCCTGTCAAGAACCCGCCTCCGAAGGCGAAGCCGCCGCCGCCGAGTGCGCCCAACGGATGCCCGCAGCATCCGCCTGAGCCTCATAGCCAGGAGGCAGAGAACCGCGTTTACATGGTGGCCCTCCACAACAACGTGAAGACGTTGCACACGATGGTGTGCGGTCTGCGCGAGCATGCGAACTACTTGCAGAAGAAGGTCGAGACTCTGGAACAGGAGTTTCGCGCTCGAGACCAAGAGCGGGATCAAGAGATCACATCCGCCATCAAGAAGTTCGACCAGGAAGCGACGGCGAGGGTAAAAAAAGCGATGCAGGAAGCTAGAGTTCCGGAGATTTCGGCGAGGAAGCAGCCGCAGATGGTCAGCATCGGCCTCACAACGGCAGACACATCAACAGTCAAGAAGGACGAGCCGACGCCAGAGAGCGACCTCAGCGAGAGTTGGGTGGTACCAAACGGAATCACGAATGAGCACGTCGGGGGCAGCTGCAGCTCTCGCGGGGGGCAAGTCGGCGTCAAGGACAAGTCGAATACAACGCGCGTCGGGGATTGCACCGTCGGCTCCAAGGAGAAGTCGAAGAAGAAAGGCGGCAAGTGAGGGCGTGGCTGCTGGCCTTCGCTGCATCGTGCGTTACAGAGTACCACGGCTGATGCAGCGCGTAAGCGAATCCGCCTGCCTGCAGGCGCAGGAAAATCCAGCCCTCTACTCCTCATCCTCGAGCGAACCGCTCTACGTGTCGATGGCACTCTTCCGATTTCTCGTAACGATGTGTTCAGCTTTGCAGTGCCGCATGTTACCCTCGCATGTTAAGTGCTACATGCGCAGTCGTGCCACGCGCACTGGCGTCGTATACTTCATCCAGTGCTACGTGCACACATTACGTTACGTAAGCAAGCAAGACGAGCGACATTGTGGACCATGTGGTCAATGATACATGCCTGTATCTCCGCATCTTTTTTCTGCTCAAGCGCGCGGGCTGGGGTTGCCCCGCGCGCTGAGGCCATCCCGCGCGCGCCCTCCCCGCGCGCTGAGCCCCCGCCCGTCGGTGGGGATTCGCCGTGGCGTCCATCGCGGGAATTGTTCAGGAGATCCAGGACGTATCGCGTCTGATAGAAGTTCGAGGCCGTGGCGAAAAGGCACTCAACGTCTGCGCGAACATGTGCAACAGCATCTGCTTGAAGATCTCTGGCCTGCAGTGGCAGGCAGGATTTGCGCTTCACCTCACCGAGGTGACAAGGTGTCCAAACATCTTGAGGCTCTCTGCATGAGGCTCTGCACGGAGCCTCGTGCAGTGTCGATTGGAGGGGAACCAGGGGGGATGCAACAGCCGATACGATCGCATATAATATCACAATCCCATAGGTGATCCAGAACAGCGTTCTGACGGACGCCATGGAGGATGCCCTTCAGGACGCCTGTGACCAACTGTCTACATCCCTCGCGGCGGCGGCTGCGGCGGGGGCTCCCATGCAAGTGCGCGGCGCTGGTGCGCCCACGCGCGATCAGCTCCTGCGGTGCCCCAACAACTACCTCGCGAACAAGGGCTGGATTGCGCTCGAGAACCCTCGAGCCACCTGCGAGGAGCGCGACGAGATCGTCGTGATCAGGCTCGGCTCGGTTGGCGTTCGCCACGCGAACGAGGACGGGCTGATCAAGTTGGTCATGTGCCTCCTCATTGACATCGAGCAGCGGCTCCACGGACACTGGCAGTCGTCCAACGACATCTACAAGAGGGTAACCTGTGGGGAAATTCGACGTCCCCCCCCTCCCTCAGACGCCCAGGCCGCAAGAGCTACCAAGAGGCTACCAAGAGGCTACCAAGAAACCCAGGATGACAGCCAAGAAGCCACAACCAAGAGCCCCGAGAGAGGATATATATAGACCCACACATGTCTTACAATGCTCCAAAAATGCCATCAAGATGCCTCGCATGACGTGGTTTATGGGGTACCTGGTGGGTACTGTTTGAAGCAACGGAGGGACGATACACGAGATCCCAGAAGACATCCCATAGCTTTGGGACCCATTGCTATATATATATATATGTATATATGTATGTATATATATATATATATATATGTGTGTGTGTGTGTGTGTGTGTGAATCTGCCACAGTACGCGTGCGATGTGTGCCGACATGCGCGTGGCGGGCGCATGAGGTGGTCTTCGGTGGGGTTCAGATGAAACGTGTTCGTTGCGAACGATATGAGCGAATGATTTGGGGCGACATACCTTGCACCCCCAACGGAACACGTGGTGATGACGACCATGGCGACGGAAGGGGTGGCGAGGTGGATGAGGGAACGGCTACCGAACGCCACGACCCAACAGTCCTGGATGGTGTGCACAGCTTTCTGCTAAATTCGCATTGGGTCGATCTTTATGATCTTTTACCTCACCCAATGAGGTGAAGCGCGTGAAGTCGTTGTTCACCAACCAGCAGCCCTGGGTGGGCACGTGCACCGATAGGTTCCCCGACGACCCCGTCGGCACGCACTTGATGAGTTTCTACTCGGCGGCAGATCCTCCGATCGCGCGGGCCAACCACTCGTGCGCGTACATCAGCCAGCACGTGCCGTTGCGTAGCACCAGCAAGCTGCTCAAGACAGATGACCGCATGCATAATGCAGATCGGTCCGACCCAATGCAGCAAGCGCTTGCCACCTGCGTGCAGGCGGTCAGAGCGGCCTCCGCTGCAGCTGCAGCTCCTGGCAATGACCTGGGCCTCACGTGCGCGGGCAAGTACGCGCACTTGTCGCCCTCGGGGTCGTCGCAGTGGTCGCGCCGTGGAGACTGGGGCTCCCAGCAGTCATGGGATTCGTGGGCGAGCGAGCCCTGGTCGGAGAGCAGCAAGGCGCACTTCAAGCCACGGCTGGCGATCGTCAACGGGCCAGCCTCATCGGCAGCAGCAGCCCCCGCTGCAGCAGCACCGCCACCAGCAGCAGCAGCAGCAGTCGCACCTGCAGCAGCAGAAGACGAAGATACAGCAGCAGATGAGGAAGCTGGCTGGGAGGAGGCCGAGGGCACTGGCGAGCAGACCTTAGAGCAGTACGAGGAAGAGGCATTCACTCGCCTCAAGATGAGGAAGCCAGCAGCTGCTGCCACCAAGACAGGTGCTGCGCCAGCCGCGAAGAAAAGGCCCGCTGCAGCGGCCCTGCAGGGCGAGGCGAAGACGATCAAATACACGATCAAGTGGGAGAAGGCCGACAAGAAGAGTACCAAGAACGCCTTCGCGTCGAGGCACTACGGCAGGGCCACGAAAAAGGCGAAGGAGCAGTTCCCTGGCATCAGCGAGCTCGACCTGAAGGCGACCATTCAGAAGGTTTACAGGGACGCGGCGGCGCTCTGGTCCAAGCACATGGGCAGAGGACCGCTTTCGGGCCCGCGCTCGCGCGGGCTCAGGGTTTTTGCCGTGGCCGCAGAGGGCATCTCGACCTCGTGGCCACCGAAAATGAGCGAATGAGCGCGCCTGTCACGTCCTGAATGGACACACGTCCTTTGGACAACCATGATTCTGAGTCAATTAAGCCATTTCGGCCAAGTCCACGCGGACACGGCTTTATGACTATGCAGTCCTTCAGGCCTTGCGCCTCGGTCAAGTCCTCATGTGGACGCACCTGTTTTTATATGTAGCGACTTTGGCTCGAGCCTTCCTGGCATCCGCTGCAGGCGGCTGCAGCATCATCTACCGAACCCGCTGACGCCCGTGCACGACAATGGCGCCGAAGCGAGCAGTACGTAACATGCCCGCCCACGACAAGTGCATGTTGAAGGCGTGCAAGGCCCAGTTCCAAGCTGCAGTTGCGACGTACAGGGTCATGAAGAGCACGCTGCGTAAGCGGAAGGAGCACCTTGGTGGTCGGTCGTCAGCGTCCGAGACGAAGCTGACCACGGCTATGAATAAGCACATCGACACGCTTGTGCCGCCGAAGAAGATGACGCACGCGTCGACGCAGACGACGCCCACGAAGCTGGGCGTTCTGCCGAAGCCCATCACTGCTTTCGGGGGCCTCGATGGCGTCTGGTGTCGTTTCACCTTGCCCAATGTCTACATTGGCTGCACGGCACACGACGAGCAGCCCACCATGCCGACGATTTCAAACGGCTACTGAGGCCGAGCGCCTCAAGGCCAGGTGCGTGAAGTGCACTGGGGCGATCTATGCACAGCATGATCGCGCGCGTATGCGTCAAGAAGTGCAAAGCGTACCTTGCGCGCTCGTTCATATTGGACCTGCGCGAAGTCGTTGGGCCGATGAGCTGGGCGTGACAGACGCCAGCGTTGCAGCGCTTCGTCGTATCGCGGCCTGCATCCATGGATGAGCAGCGGGATCTTGTTGTCCATAGCGTAAGTGCTGGCTCGTGTACAGTTTCCTTCGTTCAGTTAGGGCCGCTGCAAGCGGGTGACGCCGCGTGGATATGTCTTGAACAAACAGATTCAAAAAGAACACCGAAGGTGACGAGCCATCGCGCTCAGTTGATGGAGCTTCGCTCAAGATGGAGCTCCGCTCAAGATAGAGTCCCGATCAGGACGGAGCTCCGCTCAAGATGGAGCTCCGCGCTCAAGATTGAGCTCCGCTCGAGATTGAGCTCCGCTCAAGGGAGGGGAAGGGGAGGAGAGGACGCTGACGCTGATGAGGATGACGTGCACTTTTTGATCCCGCCCCACGGGGTCAGATAGCCCAGCGGTGCGCCACGGGCACGAGGGCATCCACGTGCCCGCCCGTGCGCTTCCTATACGGCACCGCCCCCAGGATGTCTGACAACGGGCATAGGCACGTTGATCCTGAAGGGCGCCCCGATGCGAAGCCATTGCCTGCATCGGTTACGGGAAAAATCGCAACCAGAGCGCACAGCTCGTCGACCACTGAGGCCGTAAACCAAACCTGCCCTAGCACAGGGGCCCCTCGCTCGGGCGTCTTAATTACTACATCACTGGTGTGAACGACCTCGAACTCGGACACCCTGGCAGACTTCGCAGTCATGCACGTGTTCTTCCGAGCCCGTGGGAGACCCAGCTCGGAGACTATGAATTCTGCCACCTTGTCCTTGGCTGACTTCGGGTCCTGCAGCTTGACGCTGGCATCGAATTTGTCGTGCACGCGCAGATCGTGCAAGTGCTTGCACGTCACCTCGGACAGTGAGCTCTTCTCCATGGAAGCTGTGTTGCGCATGCCCCCCGAAAACCTGGGGCAATTATGGCACCGGCCGATCGCTGCATCGCGGTCCGCCAGTACATGGCGCATGCGCCACATATTAGCGGAGCTGTGCGGCTGATGTCGTAATCACCCGAGAACCCTTTGACCATCTTGTGCTTCCTCTCGTGCGTCCAGCACGCTAACAGAGTGCCAAACCTCTTGTGCTCGATGACCAGATGCAAGGTCCAGTGGAACTTCGGGTGCAGATGCGCGCCCCGCCCTGCGTCCAAGCACGCCTGCAAGAACTTGTCCACCTGGACCCTGAGCTCCCGCGATGTCACCTTGCCGTGCGGCACGGCAATCAAGAGGTCCATGATGGGCGAGCACGCAAGGTACGCCTCGCACTCCTTGGTGCAAATACCTGCCCTCAGCCACACGTTCCGCACGAAGTGCGCGATCATGCTGTGCATAGAGATCGCTTCCGACGCAGTGCACTTCACGTACTTGGCCTTGAGGCGCGCTTTCCACCTGGACGGCGAGAAGACGCCGACGAGGGCGTCAGTCTTCGTGCCCATCTTTTGTGGAAGATTCCACTGTCGTAGCAGGTCGTGGATCGCAGCAGGGGCGCGCGCCTTCTGATCCAGCAAGCTCTTCACCAGAAGGTACAGCGTCGTGTTCCACGCGCCGTGCACGACGAACGTGTGCATCCAATCGTGAGCGAAACAGCTCACGGGCTTCACGACGTTGCGCAAGTCCCTCTCCAGCAGCAGGTTGAACCTGCAGTGGTTCATGCCTGCAGTCATCTCTCGAAGCTTGAGCTCCCGCGGCCTTGTCGCAGCGACGACCGCCAACCTCTCGACGCCGCCTCGCAGCTCCTCGTCCGTCGCGAAGTCCATGGCGGAGCCGACGGTGATGGTACACGACAACATGTCCTCCCCGTCCTCGCCAGCGATCCCGCTGCTCTGCGAATACAGGTTCTTGCAGAGAGCGCATGCCTTCAGTCCAGCATCGCCCTTCACGCAGAAGACCTGCTTGTGAGTACCGCCATCCTGCAATATCATGGTGAGCTTCGCGAAGAGCCGCGTGCTCGAGCCATTTGGGAAATCCCTTGAGCCCGCTGGGCTTCGGCGGTTTAGCAAGCTGACTCTCTCCCTCTCTCCATCTGGGAGTGGTTCACCCGTCCCCTTATGGACCTGGTCAGGCCCCCCCGCGTGGTGTCAGATGGTCCAAGATGGCCACGGCTCCGAGAGGGCATCCAAGTGTCCAAGATGGCCCAAGACGGCTCCGAGAGGGCTTGCAAGATGGTCCCAGATTGTCCAAGATGGCCTCGAGTGTCCAAAAGAGCTATGCTCCGATGCCGATGCGTCCGAGGCGTCAGAGCCCCCTCCGCCCCCTCCTCCCCGTCCTCATCCTCCTCTCCCCTCCTCTCCTCCTCCTTCTCCTCCTCCTCCACCTCCTCCTCCTCCTCATCCCCCCTTCTCCTTATGCACCCTCCTCCCCCTCCTCCTCCTCCGCCTCCTCCTCCTCCTCCTTCGCGGGCGGAGTGCCGCGCGCCCGCCTGTTACTAAGGCCCGACGGCCCAGAGAAGGAGCACATGGTGCATATATGGGATGGTGGAGGGGCGCGAAACGTCAATAATTCAGAACTACTCCCGCGTCGAAACTGTGGTCACTGGCGTTGAACAGCATCTTGAGCAAAGCTCCGAAGACCTGCGCGACGCCACCGCCGTAGTTCTTCACTCTATCAGACCGCTCACACGCAAGGCATATCCACGCGTCTTCGTCCGTCAGAAGCGACCCGAGCTGCATGAAGGGCATGTGCGCAACCCAGCACTTGCGCTGGTTGTGGCCTGACAGCTGGCTGCCTGGGGCAACCTCGTCGGCGTAGATCACAAGGTCCCACGGCTCGTCCATGGATGGAGGCCGCGATGCAATGATGCGCTGCGTGGCCTTCGCGAAGCCGCCGCCCGCAGCGCGCGCCTCGTTGAGGAAGGCGAACGGGTTCACCACCGCCATCTCGCCTCCCGACGAGCCGTCGCCGCGCTCCATGGGCAGCTTCGCGAGCAACGCCCCGTGCTCGCCGCTGCCGCGCATGATGAGGTCCCGCGCCCCCCTAATGGCGTTGCGGTTCCTGACCTCTGGCACGTCGTAGACGCACTCCTCCAGGATGGCGCTCAGCGCGGAGGCCGACGTGCGAGGAACCCTCCGCTTGAATGCATCCAAGCGCCTGAGCTTCTGCTCCCGCTCTCGCTGTCGGTCCATGCATGACCAGCGCTTCGCGCGCGCGTGGGCGGCGCGCGCGCGAGGAGGGCGCACCTCCTCGAGCCAAATGGCTGCGACCAACATCCTCATGAATGGACCGGCGTCCTCATGGACCGCGCGCGACCAACGTCCATGGACCAGCGTCCTCATGGACCGCGCGCGACCAACGTCCACATGGACCGCACGTGACCAACGTCCTCATGGACCAAAGTCCTCATGGACCGCGCGCGACCAACGTCCTCATGGACCAACGTCCTGGACCTGATCAATGCGCGTTTAACCGATTGGTGATGCAACGTCCTGGACCTGAGCAATGCTCGTGCAACCGATTGGCGATGCATGACTGGAAAGTCTTACAAACGACACGCCTAAAATGAATTCATAAAACCGTTCGGCAGCGTTTCTAATACCAGGCAAAATCAATTTAACATCGACCAAACAGTTTTATCCCGAACACAATTTCAAAATATGCGTTGTTTGACGTTTGCAAATCAGAGTCTACACGTTTCGACCCAACAACTTTTAGAAATGAAAAGCAGAGTTCTTCATGCCACAAAATCAGATCTGAAAAATGAAACCCGCTTCTCAACATGCTTTCATCCAGCTAGCAACATGTTTTGATTTTGACAAACATATGGTTTTGGTTGAACAAACATTGATTTTTTTCATTATGAAATTCTAATGTTGTAGAATTGTAACACTGTTCTTTAGAATTATATAGAATATTCTATAGAATTCGATATAATATTCTATATACTAGTGTTAACATTATGTAAGTTTTATGTTATTTCATAAATTATGATAAATTGTGGCAGAAAGAGGATTCATTCAAGTGGAGGCCTCTTGGGCCGCTTTGGAGCGTCGGGAAGCCGAAAAGGCGAGAAGGCTAGAATCCTTCAAAAACCATAGAAAATCAATGATTTTGGCCTGTCGGGGCTCTCTTGGGAGGCCTCTCGGAGGCCTCTGGGAGCATCTTGGTGGGCTCTTGGGCCGTCTTGGGGCCCTCTCAGGCGTCTTGGGGCGATCTTGGAGCGACTCGGGACTCTCTTGGGCCGTCTGAGGAGCCTCTTGGGGCCATCTTGGCTTGTGAGGGGCCCCTTCGAGGCAGGGTCGCCGTCCCGGAGGCCGACGCGAGAAACCCCGGGACCGCCTGGGACCCGCCGGGACCGCCCAGGAGCGCCCGGAGTTCCGGGGGTCCGGCCCCCTAAGAAACTACAATCTTGGCTGCAGCAGCAGCACAGCAGCACAGCTGTGAGCCTTGGGGCACCCCACTTCGTGCCAGAGGCACTGTGGCGGATATCATTAGGCTTATGTGTGTTTGTATATGTATGTATGTGTATGTATGTGTATGTATGTGTATGTGTGTGTGCTTGTGTGTGAGTGTGTGCGTGCGTGCGTGCGTGCGTGCGTGTGCGTGTGTGTGTGTGTGTGTGTGCTATTCCGCGTATAACTATTTATTGTATATATATATATATATATATATATATATATATACATATAATTTTATATTTATGCGTACGCACATGTATACAATTATGGATATGGGATTTCCGTGGTTCAGAACTGGGAAGTTGAGCGGTCTATTGCGGAACGCATGTTCACCATGCATTTCTACGACACCGTTGAGGTCATCCCTGGTTTCGCATAGTGCGCACACAATGTCTGTCGTCGACAACGAAAATGCAACGCGAATGTGATGACCCGTGCTTATGACAGGGCGTTTGTGCTTCAATATAGCTTCCCAGTTCAATCCCGATGACATTTCCATACTTCTTACAACCTCACCGTCGCTTCCATTTAATTTTCTGTGTAGGTATGTCTGATCAGTCGTAAGCGTGCCCGAGCGAGACAGTATACAGGCTTTGCGTCGGTCGTTTGCATCAAGGCGTTTGCCATTATCTAGTGGCCTTCGGCCCAACCCGTCACCGTGCCTGGGCTTGGGGTCAGTTTTTTGTTGATTCATAGGAGGGTCTCTTGGGATGCCTGTCTGCGGCCTCTTGGAGGGCTTTTGGGGGCATCTGGGGGTCTCTTGGGGCTTCTTGGGGTCCCCTGGGCGCCTTTTTGAATATTTTTTGAGGCCCCTTAGGGCTTTTTGGAGGCGCCTCGGGGGCCTCTGGGGGGCTCTTGGGGCCATCTTAGGAAGAAAGGCTTAGAAATGTCGCTTCGCATTCCCCCCCTTGGGCCACTCTTGATGCTCTCTTAGGGCCCGGGGGCCTCTTGGGCTGCCTTGGGGGCCGTCTTCGGGGGCCCTCTTGGGGGCCTCGTGGGCCGTCTTGGGACGATCTTGGGGCCCTCCTGGGGCGTCTTGGACGCTGTCAAGACAAGAATTGCGATTATGCTGCGCATATACGCTCCCCCAAGGGAATGGGACGATTTTTGCTTCTTCGGGCCCTCTCGGAGGTCCTCTGGGAGCACTCTTGGGCCGTCTTGGGGGCCTCGTGGGCCGTCCTGAAGCCATATTGGACCGTCGTGGAGCTACCGCGGGCCGTCGCGACGTTGTCTTGGACTGTCATGGCGCTCGTGGAGGCCACCGAGGGCAAATTTGGAGGCTCTGGAGGCTCCGGGGATGCGTTTGGGAGTTCGGCTACCCCCCCCTCAAACAGGATTTTGGACCCTGGGGGAGGGGGAAAAGGGGGAGGGGGACAGCCAAATGTCTGACACGCTTGTTCACCCCTGGCAAGCGGGTGTCGGCGGATTTTGTTGTTTTAAGCATTGCGTTTCTGCGTAAACCAGACCGGCGCCGCCGTTGGGCCCCACGGCAATTGGGGCCTGGGCCCATTTTGCCCCCCGCCCAGGTTCACACGACGCCGCGGCCCCCCCCCAGCCAGGCCCCGTCAGGCCGCCCCCCGTTTACATCCATACCCAAGGACACCATTCTCCGTGGCCACTTGGCTGAAGGGTCAAGCTTGAGACGCTGGAGTATTGCTGCCTGCAGCTGTTGCGCCCCTCGTTACCTCTCGCAGCTCAGTCCTCGTACGCACGCAATGGCAGTGTTCAGCATGATGGTCTCCCTTCCCGTTTTGCCGATGCTCGTGATCGCTCTCGTGCTCACGACTTGTGCTGCCATCGAGGACATCTGGCTCTTCGGCATCGAGCCCTACACCATCGTAGTGCCGGTAGGCTTGTCCGTCCAGATCGGCAAGGAGTTGATGCTGGACGAGATCAACAAGAAGGCCGACCTCTTGCCTGGCTACAGGCTCCGGATGGCACATCAAGACGGACAGTGCAGTGCCGACCGCGTCTCCAACATGTTCCTGAGCAATCTCTTCAAGGATACATACGAAGTGTTCGCGCCCGGGGTGGACCCACTCACTCTCAACAGAGACGGAGACGGCGCGGTCTCGTATAGCGACTCGAGCATCTTCAACGAGGTGTGGACCTCTGCAAACATGTCTGGCGGGCCCGTTGGCCTCATCGGAGGCGGGTGTTCAGGGGGAACCATGGCCATCAACAATGTCGCTTACATGGCCAACGTTCCCATCGTGTCGGCGCTGTCCAGCAACCCAGGGCTCTCCGACCGCAGCAAGTATCCGAATTCTTGACGCTTCGCGTATCCCCACCAGCCCATCCAGAAACGACGCCCAGGCGAGTAGAGGCGATCAGGGAAGTGTAGGAGCAAAGAGAGGGGCAGCCGTTATCGTTCGAAGGAGGAGGAAGAAGCGGAGGAGGATAGATGAGGCAGGGCGGAGGATGATGAGGAATATGCTGATGATGGTGATGATGATGATGATGATGATGATGATGATGATGATGATGATGATGATGATGATGATGATGATGATGATGATGATGATGATGATGATGATGATGATGATGATGATGATGATGATGATGATGATGATGATGTTGATGATGAGTAGGAGGAGGGGTTCTTCAAGCGACGACGAGTGCCTCTGGCCTCGTCAGCTGCGCGAGCCGCTGGCCGCGCAGGGTTGCAGGTTACGCACTAAAGCGGCGAGAACTCCTGGCCTCGTCAGCTACGCGAGCCTCTGGCCGAGTAGGAATTCCGTGTGATATACCCAGAGACGGCGAGAGCCCCTGGCCTCGTCAGCTGTGCGAGCCTCTGGTCGCACAGTTTTTTTTTTTTTTTTTTTTTTTTTTTTTTTTTTTTTTTTTGTTTTTTTTTTTTGTTCTATCGTTCAATCGACGGCGAGAGCCCCTGGCCTCGCCAGCTGAGTGAGCCCCCGGCCAATCATATATTTCTGTTCACGAAGAGAGCCCCTGGCTTCGTCGGCTGCGTGAGCCCCTGGCCGCGTAGTGTTTTAACACGCGAGGGCCCTTGGCCTCGTGAAAGGACGCGGGTTGCCATCGCTCCCCTGCCTTGCGAGCCGCTGGCCGCATGCGTGGGGTTGGGGCCCGCGTCCTCGAAATCAACCGTATTTCCCCAATGAGATTTCTCTTAGGGATTCCTTGGTCCTTTGATATTGTTTTCTCGGTTTCGTGATCTGGGTTTCCTTAGTCGCGTTCTCTTCGCACGTTCTCCTCATTGGAGTCGTGCCGGGTTCGTGTAATTGTGCTAGAGGTTCAGATTTTCGATATCAGGTTTAGCATTTGTCTTACCCCCGAGGTTTTCGACCGTTGTGACCGATTTGGGCTCAAGGGAAAACATTCGATAGAGCGCGCTCGTGGGGCCCGATAGACTAAAAGGGGGGCCCCAGCTTGAAGCTCCTCCCCTCCCCCCTTCCTTGTTAAAGGGGTGGGGGGCTCGGAAGCCCCCCCCCCCCTCCTCCCTTTTCGTGGTCCGGAAAAGGGGGAGGGGGCTTCCAAGCTCCCCCCCCTCCCCCCCTTTGAACCGGGGTGAGCCACCCCCCCCCTTTGAAAGGGGGGGGGCTTCGGAAGCTACCCCCCCCGTCCTTTTTCGTGGCCGGAAGGGGGGGGGGGCTTACAAACTACCCCCCCTTCCCACCTTTTAATGGAGCTGGGGTGAGCCACCCCTCCGCTTTGAAAGGGGGGGGGCTTTGGACCCCCCCCCCCCCCCCCCCCTTGGTGCAAAGGGGGCA